ATTTAAAATTTGAGAATAGGCTGAGGTCGTTTCGAGCCCAACAACTCTAATCATTGGCCATGCCGGATAAAAGTGTTTATACTAATGAGTGCCAGCCATCCTGGGGGAAACTTCGGAGGGATCCGGCTGCTAGAAAATTCGATTATTCTTTCGCCCCTATACTCACGTTGACGAACGATTTGCACGTCAGAATCGCTACGGTCCTCCACCAGAGTTTCCTCTGGCTTCAACCTACGCAAGCATAGTTCACCATCTTTCGGGTCTCAACATGCATGCTTACGCTCCACCCCGATGACGCATTAACTGGCTAGCTGGCGCAGCCACACACATGCAATGTTGCGTGCGACAAGCACACAACACAACACGCACACGCAACGGCACCAACGCAAGCCAATGAACACACCATGGGACGGGCCGTTGATGCGCCCACTGCTTTTCGTCGCCTCGACAAGCCTAAACCAAATGGCCGGCAGGCCAGCTAGCGGCCACTCGCCAGCAGCAGGATCTCACCTCGTTGTATGGCCTCAGGTTTCGTGTACACCCTTTGGCTAGCACACAAGTTAAACTCCTTGGTCTGTGTTTTAAGACGGGTCAGGCGGCTTCTCTAACACGGCACAACTGACTATTCCACCCCCGGCACCTCATGCACTCGAGGCAAAGCAGAGCCACTCAAGACAAGCGACGGACCACTGGCGAACCCACACACATTTTGCAGACAACACGACAGTCACGCCAGACGCTGATAAACGGCCGCGTCCCACTCCACCACACCTGTAACATGCGTGCCGGATACCATGACCGCTTGCCCGAAGGAACAAACGAATGAGACGGATAAAAACCGATGCCTTGCGCAGTCACCTACACCACCGCAGCCTGCCAAGCCACCAACAGTGTGGTCACAGCACAATAGCCATCAGTGGCTCGTTGACTATCAGTACACGCCAGCACGCAGCAGCACTGGGACACCACTGCGCCTTCTGCTCACTTCTTGCAATCGTGCCCGCCAAATCCTCCTGTCCCTCCATCCATCCATCCATCCGTCCATCTATCCATTAGTTCACCAATCTTCCAGTCGGTCAGCCGGCTAGTCAGCCGTGAAGCTAACGAACTAGCTAACCGAGTGAGGAGGAGGACTACCATGAGGACATGACTCGACCACCGCAGACCGCCAGTCTCACCCGTCGTGGTGTTCATGACAGAGAAGATGCACAAACTGCAAGGCCTAAAGACGAGTGGCATGCTTCGGCTCCCGTCCGACACGCACAGCACAGGCCGCAACCTCGGATCCACCTACCCACTCCACCCCGCTTACCCACTTAGCCTCCCATTCACGCACCAGCAGGACAGACAGACAGGCGGATAGGTAGACAGGCAGTCTAATCTTACTGTGGCTAAGTGACGCAATTCGTGTGACATATGTATCGACTTCACGCCATCGGTATTTACACTGGTGCAATGCTACGCCTACTTATAAAGAATTCGGCCCAACCGTAGAGCAAAAAACCTAATTATATGTCTTGTTGTCAGGACTAAATGCTATTCATTGCTTGAATGGAAACATTTTTAGGTAGATTTCAGTCTATCCGCAGGTCTATGCCATCATTAAGGGACGCAGCTCGTCGGACCATGACATCGAATTCTTGCAAAGCGATTGTAAATTTGTTTAATGACGCGTCTGCTTATATGGATGTCAGCTTATCCGGAGGGCAGCATAATTAATTACATGTCGCCAACAAAGGATTTTATGATATTCACTGCCTGATCAAAGGGCTAACTTAAAAAGATTTTATTCTATCTGCAGGTCAATTTCATTAATATTATGCATAATTATACAGATTTTAGGCTAACCTGATATCAAATGTCGTAGTGAGGCCGTAGCATATCGAATTATGGGTGGTAAACGATGCAACGCATAGGGAAATTATACAGATTTCATGCCACATGGGTGCCAACTGATGTAATGCCGGGTCTACTTATATGGAATTCAGCCAAACCGTAGTGCAGAAGGCTTAATTATATGTCTCCACTTTTGAATTTAATGCTATCCGTTGCTTGAAAGAGGCACTTCTTTAGGGGAGTTCAGATTATCAGCAGGCCTATATCATCAATACTATAACCATTTATAGTTTTATATTTAACGAGATGTCAATCATCGTCTTCAAGTTAAAGCGTAAGAATTTAACGGAGATTAAGTGACACAACTGATAGAAAATTAATATGGACTTCATGCCATGCGGTTGTCACCTGGCGTAAAACCACGTCTACTTATGTGGAATTCAGCCTACCCGTGGGGTAGCATGGCAAATATTGTGTGTGCTTCTCAGGCTTTCTTGCCATCAGTAGGTTGAATGAAGCTCAACTTAAAAAGACTTTAGGCTGACCCAATTTTACGGATTTAAGGGTAAATTGGCGTCGACTGTCGTATTGAAGTACAAGCACCTCGATTTGTCGTGGGTCAAGTCAGGTAACTCATGGGTACCAATAACAATTTCACGCTAAGCCGATATCAACTAATATAATGCCACACCTGCTTATTTGAAATTCAGCCTATCTGTAGGTGAGCACACTTAAATACGTGTCAACTTCTCATAAAATCATGCTAACCATTGATTGAAATAGACTTTATTTAAATAGACATCTATCCATCCGCAGGTCTATGTCATCAATGTTACACCTGCCTACAGGGTAACAGGGCTAAATTGTCGACGAATATTTTGCTTGTATCAAAGCGTATCAATTTAACGGAGGTCAAGTGACGCAACACATGTCACACTTATATTAATGCCCTGCATTCGGATGTCTGCTGATGTAATGGCAAGTCTACTTATGTGGAATTTAGCCTATCAGAAGGGTAACGTACCTAATAGTAATGTGTCATCTGCCTAGTAATTCCTACAATCCGATACTTAAAAGAAGATCTACCTAACTAGACTTTGGTCTATTTCATCAAAATATTAACTTTTTACAGGGGTCGCATGCCATCTGCTGATTAAAATAAGGCGTATTTAAATAGACATCAGTCTATCCGATGTTCTGTGTCATCAATATTATCTCTAATTAAATGGATTAAGGACTTAATTTTTTTATCGAATATCATGCAGTATTCTGAGCAAATGGATTTGACGGAGGTCAAGTTACGCAACGCATGGGTCATCTATATTGACTTTAGGCAAATGTGATGTCGACTGATAAATTACTACGTCTACATATCTGCTTCTCAGGATTTCTTGGGTCGGCTGGTTGAATGAAGCTCTACGTAAGGAGATACCAGTATATCTGCAAATCTACGTCGTCAATATAATAAATACTTGTGCGGATTCAAGTCCATTTTGATGTCAAAAAACATATTTGCTTTTAAGAGATTTGATTTCACGGAGGTTGTGGCGCAGCTCATTGGACATTTATATCAAAATAATGCAATGCGGATGTCAACTGATGCAATGCCAAGTGTACTTTTATGGAATTTAGCCTACCCGTAGCTTAGCATGGCAATTAATATGTGTGCCTCTCAGGATTTCTTGCAAGCGGTTGGTTGGATGAAGCTCTACTTAAATAGATTTCAGTCTAGCCATTCCTAGAGAGTTTTCCCTACTAAAACAAATGACCTCCACTACTTAAACCAGTTGTGCAAAGGCCAATGGGTGGAATTTCGAATGCTATCTATTCACAGTTTCATTGTTTACTATAACGGATCTAAAAATAGGTAGTTGTGAGGAAGTCAATGCATCATACGACGGCTGCCATATTTCGGTGGTTTTGAAATCAATTTATTACGAGTCTAATAATAGCTTACCAAAGGGTGTATAGTGAAGGTGCCTATATAAGACAGGGAACATAGCATTGTGCCTCAACAGCGGCCAGTAGTCGAAGTGAGTCCATTGCATCTTTCATTGCAGAATTTAAAAAGTTACATTTAAAATGCTCTGTTACTCTTTCTTATTTCCACGCATCTATGCATACCGTTTTTCGTGAGGTTGCTTCGACATCCCGCAGCAGCGGCAATCGTGTACATTTTAAGGGATGCATCACGTACATGAACATTTGTTCATAGCTTCAAGAGTAGAACATACTACCTTCTATGTTCAAAATGCAAAGTACAGTATTTTTTGGAAGTTTGATGAAAGAGCTAGCATTGTTTGATTTGCCTTTTACCGATTCCCCTCTGCAGGTATTCATGAAAGATTTGGCCGCTCACAGTAAATGACTCATCTCCGTGGCTTTAAGGTTGTTTTTTAATTAAAGACCCTTTTAAACTCTTGAAATTTTAAAATTTAAAGGATGAGATTGCTATTGCACCTTGCTTCAGGAAGTTGTCTGCTCTTTTAGGAGCCCAGTATTCTCATCTATGGGGAGCGATTGCGCATTTTTATATTCGTAGTCAGTAAGTTCCCATTACTGTTCTGGAGCAGGTTTTGCAGTTATCGGTGAGTCATGGCCGATGATTGCTCAATGAATTTGTTTGTAGGTCGTATCCTCGTCCTCTTCTTACGGAATCCAAATTGAGCGTGCACTGCATGG